AGCAAGCCCTGCAGAAAGCAAGCTTCTCTTTCCCAATAGTTCCAGCAAAGGCCCTAGGTAGGGCTCTGATTGGTCAGGCCCGGGACATCTGATCATCTGTAAGCCCATCACCATGGCTGGGATGGGGACTCATCCTTTGATTGGCAAGGCCTAGGTCACATGCTCATCCCTGCAGCCCAAGATAGAGTCAGTGTCACATAAACCAAGAGGTGGGGAGAGGTAGGCTCCCCAAAGGAAGTCCTGGGGTGCAGTTACCAGAAGGACGAAGGCAGGAGGCCAGGTGGGCAGAACCAACATTGGCCCCGAGGGGATGGGCTCTGTGTATGTTGGTGATGGCCAGGAACATGGCTAGCCTCTCGCATCAGGGATGTGAGGGATAAGATTCCTATGGATGGTTCCAAAGTCTCCCCTCCATTTCAGATGCTGTGTTGGGCTGGGGGTGTCAGTGGACAGGACAGAGGCATTTCAACTGCCCTTCCATGCAGGCAGCCCGTCCTGGCACTCCCCCACCGTAGCTCCACTTACTCAAAGGAGTAGTACATTTGCCCCAGCCTCATATGCTGTGTTGGGCTGGGGGTGTCAGTGGACAGGACAGAGGCATTTCAACTGCCCTTCCATGTAGGCAGCCCATCCTGGCACTCCCCCACCGTAGCTCCACTTACTCAAAGGAGTAGTACATTTGCCCCAGCCTCATGTCCAGGGAAAAATTTTACTCTAAAACGAGAACCTTCTGTGGTTTTTCTTGGTAGAGAGGAAAATCCCTTTACTGCCTTAATTTACAGATGATTTGACAGCTACTTACTGGGCACCTGCCATATATAAAGGGAAAGTTGGTGACTTGGGCTGTGGAAATGGTGTCCTCATCTCATCTACAGGCTCCAGGAAGCCAACAGATTTATGGAGCGCAGGTTGTATACAATCGTCAGGCACCCCAACAGCTTGAGGTGCCCCCAGGGAGACAGCGGGTGCCCTTCCCAGCTGTGCGGGCAAGTCTTTGAACTGCTCTAGGCCCCTCAGCTATAAAGGAGAGAATCATCCTACTTGGTAGAACAATGTAGAGAAACTAATGAGATCTTTTATATAAAGGATGCTGTGTGCAGTAGGTGCTCAATGAACATATGTTCCCTTCGGAGAGATGTGAGCCAGGTGCAAAGGAGGCAGCCCCTGGTGCAGTGGGAGACAGACACGTGAGGAGACCACTAGAAGGGGGGCCAGGAAAGGGGGAGCAAGTGTTAACGATCCTCAATATCTATTCCCTTTCCTTCTATTAGTAATATCGCCCTAAGTTCTAGCTGCCCAGCACAAGGTAGCATCTCCCAGCGTCCCTTGCACCCGTTGTGGCATGATGTGAAGGTCCAGCCATGGGAGTGTACTCAGAAGTGACGTGTGCAGCCTCCGGGGTGTGCCCTTCAGAGAATGCAGGTGCCCTCCACTCCCGCTCTCTTCCCTCCCGCTGGCTGGAATGTGTCAGCCACATGCGACCATGACAGACTCAGGACGGAGAACGCCAAAGAGCCTGGCTCTCCCATGCTGCCTTCCCAGCCCTGGGCCACTCACACTGTAAGAATTTCATGAGGGAAGGGTTTTATGGTTTCTCATTTAAGCCACTGTTATTTTGGAGTTATAGCCAATTTCTTAACCAACACAGAGGGCTTCCGGGTTGCAACACGGGGTCTGAACTCAGAAAGATCTAGTGCAGGTCCTCTCTGAACTTCAGCTTCTTCACGTATAAACAAAATAGTGAATATAAAATATTCACATGGACATCGAATGTGGCAGCTGTTCTCATATCTACCCTGACCTCTATACATTTACTGACCTAACATCAGGAAAGAAAAATCACGAATGTCCCGATGTCACACGGGCTAGCATTACACAAATCAGACACTGCTTCAGGAAGTTCAGAACCGCGATCTTCAGAACTATAAGAGAGAACATATGTACGAGGACCCCATTCGGTGTTCCAGGATGGTAAAAAAGTTTCGGCAGGAGTCAAATTCCATACAGGCCTCAGTAAAAAAGTCACAGGAGTACACGAGCGGCCTGTCCTCTCCCCAGCAATTTGACGCTCATCATGGTAATTTCCCTGTAAAAAGGCAATCCTCTAGAGGAATTTTTAGATCACGCAGCACATTTTAGAACTTCTTTCTTCTTCCCTCCAAATGCAAAACTCTGTCCTGGCACAGCCGGGAGCAGGGTTTCAGATGAAGCTCGTGGGAATGTGTGTATTGCTGAGTGTTTCTCAGTTCTTGGAAATGCCCCACAAATGTGATCAAAATTGCTGCCCCGTTCGTGCCAGCTTCCATTTGCCTCTTTGCCTCATCTCATCTCCTGATCTAGCGAGGTTCCTTCCAGCAAATGGTTTGCAGGCCTCCCTCCACGCAGCCAAGCTGCACTCTGGGACTAGGACTTCCACAGCATCACAGCAATGGGTACTGAGCACCTGTGTGTGCCAGGTGCTGTGCTGGGCACAGGGGTACCACCAGGAACAAGACAGACGCAGCCCTGCCCCCACCCCTCCTTGCTCAAGGGCTAGAGATAGGCAAGGCAGATAGCACTTCAGAGTGCTAGAGGCTCCCGGGGAGCAAGTCCACGGGCTGGCAGCACCCACAGGAGGGCCCCTGACCTTCTGGGGTCAAGGAAGTCCTTTCCGAGGTAGTGGTATCTACACCAAGGTCAAAAGGATGAGTGGGAAATAGTCCAGAGAAGGACGGTGCAGGGTAAAAAGGGGACTTCTAGGCCACATTTATCAATTAGCTTGTACTGAATGACAAACAACCCAAAATTTTGTGGCTTAAAACAACAAACCACGTGTTGTTGCCCATGACTCTGCAGATCAGCCAGGCAGTTCTGTTGATCTGGTATAAGCTGGTCAACCTTGGCTGGGCTCATTCAAGCATCTGCGGTCAGCTAGAAGGTTGGCTGGGGACTGGCTGGCCGGCCCTCTGCTGGCTGCGCGACAGGGGCCTCTCAGCATGCAGCAGGCTGGCTAGGGCTTGTTCACACGGCAGTGGGACTGGCATAATGTCACTTCCACCATATCCCGTTGGTCAGAGCAAGTCACAAGGCCAGCTCAGATTCAAGGAATGTGGGAGAAGCAGCAAAGTTATGTTGCGAAGGGGCATGGATATGGGCAGGGGTGGGAACTGGGGCCATTTTTGCATCAATTTAGCACACACAGAGGAAACACAGGGGCCAAGGCAAGATTGCAGCACGTAGCATATTCCAGGAGCCATGGTGTGGTTGAATTGGAGGGTTCAAAGGGGAGGAAGGTTGCATGAGCAGACTGAAGAGCTTGAACTCTCACTCAAGGGCATTGGGAGCCAGGACGGGTGCTGGGCAGGGCAGTGAGGCCTATTTCGTTTTCGAACACTGACGGCCACGGCCTCCCTCACCCCAGACCTCTGGCGATTGAGAGTCCTGTGGGAAAATTCCAGCAAGGAAGAGACTGCACAAAGAAAAACGCAAGGCTGTTTTAAACCCATCCTCTCCAAATCCTATGCCCTTCTCAGAGGCAGCCACAGCTGTCAACCTGTCTGGATCCTTTCAGACCTTCTGTGCCTTCATGCACACATGAGTTTTGTCCTGAGAAGTGGGAGTGTATTCCAGATGCATTATGGTTCCTTCATTTTCACTGCTGTATACTCTTCCACTGCGTGAATAGACCACTCTACGCTTGATGGCCATTTAAGTTGTTTTGAATTTTTACCGAGATTGCAGTAGACATCCTTGTATGTCAGTGTAAATGTTTCTCTTGGGTTTATCCCTAGGGCGAAATGGCTGGTGTGGAGTGAGTCCATCTTTAGGCGCATTAGACATTGCTGAGCTGCTTTCCATGGTGGCTGCCAGGTGGCCCTCCCAGCAGCCATGCATTTCGTCATGTTCTTGACACTTGGTACTAATAGACACTTAAATATTTGTCACTCTGCTGGGTTTGAAACACATCCTCATCCTTGTTTTAATCTACCTTGTCATTTTAAGTGGCTGCGGAGTATTCTAGAGAGTGAATAATGTGGCCCGGCTCCGGGTGGTTTGCTCAGAAGTTAGTACCGTTTGCTTGTTTGTTTGTTTTCCTTTTGAAATAGCGTAGCACTGCTTTTAGGAGGGACAAGTGGAGTGGCTGGACTCAAGGCAGTACCTTCCAAAGCAGCCGTACCCGTTTATGCCTGGCAGGGACAGCGAGGGCTGGTCCCCTGCAGCCTCGCCGACACTCCTGTCACTGTCAGTGTGATGGGAAAGTAACATCTCGTCACCATTCAATCTGAGTTTCCCTGAATGCTGAGGAGGCCGTGTCTGCCCGCCTTTCTTGTGAACTGCCCATTTACATGCTTTGTCCATCTCCCCACTGGACCCTGTCCTTACTCATGAAGACTTTTGCTAAGCAATTTTATTTAAAAATTGCTCCTTGGACCCTCATAATTTCTTTCTTAAAGACAACACGAAATAAAACTAGGGCACAGGCTCTGAGAGCCTAGCTGACATCAGGAGAGGCTGTGGCCTGACCTGGGGTGTCTGCTCCAGGTAAAACCCCGCTGGGCAGCCTCCAACTGCTAAGTTTTGAGAAACTGAGGCCGGCAGTGACCTGAGAACAGAGGCAACGCTGGGGCCGCCCATTACTCACCTGGTGGGATTGGAGGGCCTCGGAGGCCACCTTGCCAACCCAGGTGCCCCCAATTCCCCATCAGCATTTGCAGTCCTTGGTGGGCAGAGGGTATGGGAGGGATGGGGCGTCTCATCCCCCATCATTTCTCTGTGGAGACAGAGACCCAGAGAAGTCAAGCAACCTACTCAAAGTCACACAGGAGTGGGTGGCCGAGCCGCTCCTGTGTGGAAGGCAGGGCTGCCGTGCGCCATCCCACCCCTCCTGCCGCAGTCAGCAGCTCAGAGCCCAATCAGTGCTAATTGGAGTGGTGGGGCCGGCTGCTGGTATATAAGACCAGCACGCAGGCTGCAGTCTTACGCCTGGGGGAGGGGGTCAGCCAGCTGCGTATGCCTGCCTGATGGATCCCGGCAATGCCACAACCGCCCTGACCTCCACGGCGGCAGGGTCCTCTGGGTCCTCCAGGTCTGAAAAGCCAGGTGAGCCCTCCCTCATCCCTGCAAGCCCATTCCCCAGGCTGTCTGGGCCCCTCCTCCCACTCTCCTTGTCCTCTCCCAGCCTGACCCCAGCACCCACCCTGGAAGCCTCTGAGTTCGACTGCCCATTTGGCAGAAGGGCTGATGCCATGGGATCAGGGGCTTGGTAGGGGTTGGGGGCTGAGGCCAGCCCAGCTCAGAGGATGAAAGCAAGCAGGGCCTCCCCGGCTGGAGCCCATTTCCATGGGGGGAGATGCTGGTAGTCTGGGCTACAGCTGTAGGGCATCTAGCTAGAGGGACTAGAGCCAGGAGCATTTGATGCAGGGCTGGGCTTCCCAATTTTCAATCAACAAATGACTCAGAGATCCTCTGGGTAGATGGTTCCACCAAGGCAAACCAGACCCAGTCTACGCCTGTGAGGAGCTCCTGGTCTGATGGGAAGGCCTGTCTCATTAATAGATGCCATTTAATAATGTGGTGGTGGTAACCCAGAGAGCTGTGGAAGCCCAGAAGAGTCCAGTAACCCACTATGGGAGATCAGGGAGGGCTTCCTGGAGGAGGTGACCCTTGAAGGATGGATAAGCCTCACCCAGGTCAAGTGTTCTGAGCATTTGCAAAGGCTTCCGGGTGGAGGGAGAGGTGGTCCAGGTGCCAAGGAGTACAAGTGCAGAGTTGTTCATCCTAGCTTGGGAAGCCAGGGAAGATATCAAAATCAAGGTGCTTTGGGGACCTTGAAGGATGAGTAAGAGTTTCCTGGATGACCAAAGAGAAAGGTATCCTGTGCAGACAGAACAGCATAGGCAAAGGCACAGAGGCCACCATGCTGCTACAGCATCTGGGCAGCTACGAGTCTTCCTCTTGGCTTGGGTAGAGTTGGCAGGAACAGTAGGGAGGGGGAAGGGCCGATCAGATGGAGCCTCCAAGGCCATCTGCAGGTGGTTGACTCATATGGAAGGCAATGAGGAGCCACGGCAGGTTTACAGCAGAGAGGTGAGGGCGGTGAGACGTGATGGGGAGAGTGATTGGAAGGGGAGAGAGGCAGCGGGAGGAGGCTGGGACTGTGGGGATGGAGAGAAGCCAGAATGCAGGGAGAAAAGCCTATGGTGAGGCGTGGAGTAGATGTGGGTGGGGAGGGGAGGTCCAGGATGGCCCCTGGGTTCTTGATTGGATGTCCGAGTAGGTATGGGGAGGGGGCACGTCATTCCTGGGAGAGAGAAGATGGAGGGCAGGTTTGGGAGAGGTGTGAGTTCTATTCTGGACATCCTCGTATACCACAGGCCTAATGATGGGCTGGGAGACAGGCCTGGGGAAGACCCTTGGGGGTGTCTTGCTGGAAGAGGGCATGGTTTGGGGGAGGCAGAAGAGGGGTTGGAGCTACTGCCAGAGGTCAGGCTGGAGGAGCCCTTGGGAAGCCCTGTAACGCTGTGGCTGGGAAGGCTCAGACCTCTTTAGAGGCCCCCATCCCCACCATACAGATGGGAAGACTGAGGCTCCCAAGGTTCCAGGATTGACTGAGCCAGGACTCCACTGACTCACAGGCTTCGGCCCCAAAATGAATATTTCCAGATACTTGGCTCTTCTGGCCAGGAGACAGGAGGGGTTGAATTGTATTAGGCCTCTTTACACTAGATCTAGAGTTTCAGGTGGGTTTTTTCCCTACTTTAAAATTTGGTATTTTTTTTTTAAAATATATTGTAGCCAATTGATTCCTTTTTTTGTCTTAAAGTTAGTTAATTGGTGAGAAATCAACATTTCCAATCATCACATTTAAATCCTGTCTCATTTAAATCCCTTCTAAGCACCCCATGGTGAATGACAATTTCTCATGCTCCCTGTCCCTTGATCCTATTCTCATTTGCAACTTTTAAAAATAACAGCTTGAGAGACGACTCACATACCATACAACTGGCTCATTTAAAGGGGACAGTGACTTTTACCCTATTCACAAGGTTGTGTATCCATCTCCACAATCAATTTCAGGATATTTTCATCACCTCAAAATGAAAACCTGTCACCATCAGCAGTCACTCTCCGTTCCCCTCCTCCAACCTCCAGCCTCTAGAAACTACCTAACTACTTTCTGCATCTAAGGATTTGCCTATTCTGGTCATTTCATATAAATGGAATTGTACAGTATGTGGCTTTCTGTGACTGGCTGCTTTCACTTAGCATGTTTTGAGGGTCCATGCATTTCATAGCATGTATCAGTACTTCATTCCTTTTTATGGCTTGATAGAGTTTGGATGTGTTGTCCCCCCCAAAACTCATGTGGAAATCTGATCCCCAATGTGGCTCTGTTGGGAGCTGTTTGGGTCATGGGGGCGGATCCCTCATGAATGGATTAATGCTCTCCCTGGGGGACAGGGGATTAATGAGTGAGTTTTTGCTCTGTTAGTTCCTGTGAGAGCTGATTGTTTAAAAGACCCTGGCACCTTCTCTCTCCCTCTTGCTTCCTCTCTCCATGTGATCTGCTTGTACCCGCTGGCTGCCTGCCACTTTCCTCCATGAGTAGAAGCAGCCTGAGGCCTGCATGAGATGCAGCTGTCCCAGAATCATGAGCCAAATAAACCTCTGTTCTTTAGAAATTACCCATTCTCAGGTATTCTGTTACAGCAACACAAAACGGACTACTAATACATGGCTGAATAATATTCCATTGCATGTATGAGGGTCCTTCAAAAAGTTCATGGAAAAACAGAATTGAAAGATAATGTGAGTCTTTCCATGAGCTTTTTGAAGTGCCCTCATATAGATCACATTTTGTTTATCCATTGCTCCATCATTCATCACGGACATTGAGTTGTTTCCATTTTGGGTTATTATGGATAATGCTGCTATGAACATTCATACACAAGTGTTTGTGTGGACACCTGTTTTCATTTCTCTTGGGTATATACCTAGGAGTGAGATTCTTTTGTAACTTTTTATTATGAAAACTTTCAAAGGAGTTCTAAAGTGGATCACAGGATGGTATGTGAGTCTCCTCCCCTGTACCTGTCACCCAATTCAATGTCATCAGCTCCTGGCTACTCTTGTTTTGTCTGGCCTATTTTGAAGCAAATGCCTGGCATCATTTCATCTGTAAATAGTCCAGTATTTATCTTTAACAGATGAGGGTCCTTTTTTAAAAAAAAATTCATAGCGGGCCGGCCCGGTGGCGCACTGCTATGGTGCACCTCTTGGGAAGTGCGGTGGCGCTCCCGCCGAGGGTTCGGATCCCACATGCAGACTGGTTCCCGCTCGCTGGCTGAGCGAGGTGCGGGAGCAACACCGAGGGCTGCGATCCCATGGCCGGTCCCGGTCCGGTACGGGCGCGACACTGAGGGTTGCGATCCGTTGCCGGTCACGAAAAAAGACAAAAAAAAAAATTCATAGCATTAGCACACCTGAAACAACAAATACCCTCCTTAATATCATTCAGTATTTCCTTCCAGCAGTTGCATCCATCTGGTTTTTCTTTTTCCCCAGTTGGCTTCTTCGAGTTTTGCTCTGCGTCTGAGCAGAGACCCCTGTTGTGTTTGCATGAGAAGTCTCCTAAGCATCTTTCATCTGTAGGGAGCCCCTCCTACTTTCTCTTTTCCTCGTTTTTTGTTTTGTTTTTTGGCAGCTAGCCGGTTGGGAATCTGAATCCATGACCTTGGTGTCATGGATTCCATGTCAGGTGGCTCTGACCCCCTGAGCTAGCCAGTAGCCCTTTGCCTTGTTGATTGGTAGAAGAAGCCAGGCTGTGCACCCCAGAGTGCCCTCAGTCTGATCTCACCCCTGTGGCCACCTCACAGAGCCATCTGAAGTCCTATGTACTAGTTAGATCTAGACAGTCAACCCAATTTAGGTCTGTTTTTAAAAGGAATGTTTACTTCGTTAAAAAAGACTCAATGAGCCTCACCAGGGATGGTGACCACCAGGAACCCCCAGGCCGGGGTCAGTGGCTCAGATGGGGAAAGAGGTGTGTTCAAGCCCCATGCCTGGCCCACGTGAGTCCCTTGGCCTGAGGGTGGCCTGGGCTCTGAGTGGCATCCAGCTGTCCTCCCGCAGGCCCGGGGCGGCGGCGCCACCCGCCAGTGCTGCGCATGGTGCTGGAGGCACTGCGCGCGGGGGAGCAGCGACAGGGCACGTCGGTGGCCGCCATCAAGCTCTACGTGCTGCACAAGTACCCAACAGTGGACACTGGCCGCTTCAGGCACCTGCTCAAGCAGGCGCTGGCCTCCGGCGTGCGCCAGGGCCTCCTCGTCAGGCCTGCCAACTCCAAGGCCAGAGGCGCCACCGGCAGCTTCAAGGTGAGGCCTGCAGAGGGCGGCTGCCAGCCTGCGGGAGGACAGCCCCAGGGATGATGGGGTCCTGCTCGCCTGTGCCCCTGCCCTGGATGTCCCCACTCCTGCCACCCCCCTGCCCTCTCTTCCTGTTCTGGCCCTCATGTCTCAACTGGGACACCCTCTGCCATCTGTGCCCTGTCTGAGCTTCCACCCGCCCGGGTCACCCTGTTGGTGTCCATATCCATCCCTGTTGGGATGTTTTCAGGGACCAGGGTTGTGTCAGCGTGTTCACTTCTGGGTCCCGGGCGCCCAGCCCCCTCCTGCATCCCTCACCACAGCACTGGGGTCTGCTCCCCACTCTCTCTGGCTCCAAACCCAGGGCAAGTGCTGGCAGCTCCCCGAGCAGCCACGTCCTCCCCTTTCACAGGGGAGGGTCCCATCCTGGTAAGGAGTCTCCAAGGGAGGGGACTTGTTCAGGGCAGATCACCCAGAGCTGAGGGCAGATTTGGGATGAAATTGAACCCCAGCATCGGGATTGCCATCAGCCACCAGGAAAATCTCAGGGACCTCGACACTGGATCTGTGTTATTGCTGTACCCAGCATCTTGCCTAACTTCTGGCACATAGCAGTTGCTGTGATAGTTGCCGTAGAACACTGTGGAACATTCTCAGCCTTCCATGTGCCTGTCCCTGTGGTTACCAGGTGACTGACCACAGGAAGTCCCACCCTCGTGGAACTCCTAGGTGTGGGTCAGAGTTTGCAGTCTAAGCCATGGCAAGGCCAGGTGGATAGGGCAGGGCGAAGGGGAGGAGCAAGGGTCACTGGAGGAGCCCTCACATGCCCCTGACACAACCTCTGTGATGGTCCCCATTGCATAGATGAGAGGACTGAGGCCAGTGCAGGGAAGAGAAGCTGGGCTAAGTTGCCCAGCTGGAGAGGGTTGGAGGAAGTTGTGAGGTCAGAGCTATCTGACCTAGAAGCCTGCTGGGCATCAAGGGCAGAGGTGGGGTTCTGCGGGGGCATGGAGACGTGGTGCAGGGCTGGGGGTGGGAGGAGAGGGAGGTGGAATCCACAGGAAAGCATGGGGTGGGGGGTGGTCAAGGACAGGAGTGGGAGGAGATGTCGGGCATGTAGGAGCGGGTGGTGCGTCCTCTCCCCCCGCCCCTGACCTCCTCCTTAGCCCTCCACTTGGAACAGGGCCTCCTTCTCAGAGTCTTGTGGAGGGTGTAGGGGCATGGGACACCCAGAACCCCCACTCTCAATCCCCCTCATGCTCTCCTCCTCCAGTTAGTTCCCAAACACAAGAGGGCAATCCAGTCCAGGAAGAAGCCCACCCCGATGGCCCCCAGGAGAGCCGGTGAGGCCAAAGAGAAGGCTCCCAAGAAACCAAGTAAGACAATGAAGGACACGTCCGACTTGGGCAAGGTGGAGAAAGTAGCCAAGAAGCCGGGAGAGGTGAGGAAGGCTCCTCCCAAGCCAGGCGCAGCCAGGGAGAAGGCCTTCCAGAAAGGCAGCAAGGCCAAGAACATCGAGGCAAAACTGGGTGAGGCTAGGAAGGGTCCCCCAAAACTGGACAAGGCCACGCAGGCCCCTTCCAGTGCCAACGGGCTCAGCAGGAAGCCAAAGGTCAAAGGCAGCAGGAGCAGCCGAGGTGGGTGTTTGACCGCAGTGAGATGAGGGCGTGGGGACAGTGCTTTCCAGCAGCCATTGGGGTGGTGGGATGCAGGGTCCAGCTCTGGGGAGGGGTTTCCTTACTTAGTCAATGTGCTCTGGGTGTTGGCTTGACCTGGAGAGATGGAGAATGCACAGTAGCTGGTGGGAGGAAGGGGACAGACATTTCAAGGGTTATAATGGGGAGGCAGAGAGGCCCCATGACCCCTGAGAGACCAGGGTTCAGGGAAGGCTTCCTGGAGGAGGTGTCCCTGGCGGGAGAACAGCCTGTACAAAGGCCTGGAGGCATAAAGAAGGTGGAGCTTTTGAGAAACTGCAGATAGTCTGTGTCTCTGAAGTGTCAGGAGGCAGACGCTGGAGGAGGAGCTGTGGAGGGCAGCCAGGAGTCTGGGCTTTATGTGGAGGACGATGAGGAGCCATGGAAGGATTCTGACAGGGAGCAGCTGGGCTCAGAGTTAGTCTCAAATGTATCCTGGCTGCCCTGTGGGAGATGAACTAAAGGCGAGGCCGACAGACCGTTAGGAGCCTGTGGGGTCAGCAGCTGTGGAGCAGGGGGTCTGCCCCGGTGCTTTCCAGTGAATCCTCCAACCGCGCCATGAGGCAGACGCTGTTAGCCCCAGTTTGCAGACTAGGGCGCCGAGGCTCAGAGTGGCTAAACTTACCCCATGTGACACAGTGTCTGAGGGAGGACTGAGGTTCTGGAGCCCTTGAACCTTCCAGCCCCCCCAGCAGCTCCTCCTGAAACGAGTCCTTTCCGTGTCCCCCTCCCCCTCCAACTTGCAGGAGCTGCTGAGGCCCACAGGAAAACAAAGGCTGGCAGCAAGAGTTCAAGACCCACAGCCAACAAGGTGAGTGCCTGCGTCTGGCTCCCCACCCTGGATAAGCCAGAGCTCAGATGTCCCGCACCCAGGGGAAGGGGGGTATATTGCTTTTCCTACAAAGGCAGTCCACCTTCTCCTTTCTGGCCCTCCGGCACCTGTGGGGGGTTGCCATCCCCATATTACAGATAAGGGACTGAGGCTTGGAGAGGTGGTGTCATTTGTCCAAGCCCAGCCAGAGGCAGGAATTCAACCCTGCAAACGTGGCTCTGAGCTGTGTGCCCAGCCCTGCCCAGCTGTCTCCTTGTTCCTGGTTTACTTTCTTATAGGTCAAGAATGGTGCTGCTTCCCCAACCAAAAAGAAGACGGGGGCCCAGGCCCTGGCCCGTAAAGGGGCAGCTGCCCTGGGGGCTGAGGAGGGGCCAAAAGCCAGGGGAGCTGCTCCTGCTAAGGGCAGTGAGGCCAAGGTGGCACCTGCACACCTAGCCAGGAAGACAGAGGCCCCCAAGGGCTGGAGAAGGCCTGGGCTGCCCACGAAGGCCTTGTCATCCAAGGTGTCCAGCAAGAAGGCCAAAGCTGAGATCTAGAGGCTGGGTGGAGAGAGACTGAGATTCTGCTTGAGTTTTTATTCCCCCCAAACCATCACTCTATTTAATTGTAACCTATTTATCAATAAAGACTTTTTTTCTTCACAAATTGGTGTGGGCAGAGGCTGAGGTTCAGGAATTTGGCCATTTGGTCCCTCATAACCTTCCGCTGAGCATCTACTACTTACCTGGCCAGTGCTGGGGCCCAGAGGGGGCTCCCATTCTGAGGGACACAGACTTTACAAGGTGAGGGGCTGGGGCCCAGGTGCCTGGCCACAGAGGGGGGCACAGGAGGGGTGTTTAACTCAGCCCTGAGATCTGAGGCTGCTTCTGGGAGGAGGTGGCTGGAAGGTGTGGTTGAAGGAGTGGGATTCATGGCTTTGAGAGGAGCCTGGGGGGAAGGTACGAGCCATTGGGCAGTGGGGAACGGGGCAGGAAGGCCCCGGGCAGCAGTAGACTTCTCCTTGGGAGCAGTGGGGAGTCGGGAAGGGTTGTAGGTGGAGGGGGGGCGACTGCTGTGGTGTTTAGAAAGGGCCCTCTGGTCTGCGATGCCTCTTAAGTCCTCGATCCCTTCCTTCCTGCAGCCAGTCCACAACTAATTAGCGAGCACAGCTGTGAGCTGGGCCTGGCTGCAGTCAACGAGCCTCCAGTCCAGAGGAGACATAGCTCTGTGCCCCAGCGGGTGCCTGTGTGCTGCAGAAGCAGGGTAGGGCTTCAGAGGGGCAGGTGCAGCTAGCTGCTGTCGTAGATAGGGTAGGGAGGCATCTCTGAGGAGGGGGCATCACAGCAGGGATCCGTGTCTGTAGGGGAGGAGCACTCAAGCCAGAAGGAAGAGAAGGGGCAAAGGCCCTGAGGTGGAACATGCTGGAAAGGCTCAAGAAGGTCTGGAAAGGCCTGTGTGGCTGGAGTTCAATGAGAGGAGGACAGTTGTGGGAGATGAGGTCTGCGGTGCTTTAAAAACCTCTGTGACATCCTCCCATGGACAAGTGGAGTCTATGTCCCTGACCTTGAATCTGGACTCTGATTGCTTGACCAGTAGAATACAGTGACATTAACACCATGACGATCTCTAGGCCCTGAC